TCCAACCAAATTACGTTTGGAGAAAAAAAAATTCTTACCCCGACTTTTATAAGTGGAAATTGGGCAGGGGCGGCGGAGGGTTGATTTGGGGGGTTGAAAAGTTATGAAAACTTGTATCATTGGGATTTCTGGCAAAAGTTGACGTCAAACAAAAAGGTATCCAATACAAGAGTTGTGGATCATGCAAAAATCTACAACTTTTGTAGAGGTCACTTTTTAACATAACCCCAAAATTTCTGAGAAAAATGCGAAAAACAGATTTTTTTTCTGATTTTTTGTTTTTTATTCCTCATTTCGGCAAAAATATTTTAATTTTGATGAAACTTGGTGAAAGTATACCTTTCTCTGTTTTAAATGACCTCAAATTTTTTTAGATAAAAAAAATCAAGAAGTTTCTGAGATATTCATTTTTTTCAAAGAAAAATTCTACTTAAAAAATTCATCATACAGACTTCTGCCGGTAATCATTTTTTTCGTTTAGAAATATACTTTTTGGTGAATTAAAAAGATCTATAATAACAGTTCAAAAACATGCTCAAAAATGCAAAAAAATAAAAAATGACTTGCAGCAATGAATTTTTCAGTTATTGTTGATAATTTGTTGAAATTAAAAAACATTCAAAAACTGATTACACCTAGGGTTGCCAGATGTCCGGTTTTCGACCGGACAGTTCGGTTTTTTTGATGCCTGTCCGGTTGAAAAAAGTTTGGTAAACCGGACAAGCAAATGTCCAGTTTTTTGTTGAATTCATAAAATATCCTGCAATTTGGGGAAAAATGTTTGCCTAAAAACGGTAACAGCGGCAACAGCGCGCGGAAAACGAATTTATTTCGCCGCTGAACTTGTTGCGCAAATCTAACAGGCAACAATGCACTGGATTCGTAGAGTGAAAACTGAAAAAGTCCGCATCGCTTGATAGTTCCGTAAACTTGTGTACTGCGTTGGTATGACTCATAGCTTATCTCAAAATCCACTATCTATATGCAAGTGTTACACTTTATAGTAAACGGTAGATATGTGGTGTACCTTTTTCAAGAAAGAGGTAGCACCAAATGTGTTGAAGCTAGTGCAATATGTTTGCAGCATTCCCATATCCAATGCCTTTGTAGAAATTATATTTAGCGTTATGGGAAATGTTTGGACAAATGAAAGAAATCGTCTCTTCGTGGAAAGCGTAAAATGTGAATTTTGCGTTTTCTTTAACAAGAACTTACTTAGCACTTGCACTGAATTCAAAAATAACATATCAGGTAATAGAGAGTTGTTAAAAGCAGCGGCATCTAATGCAAAATATATTAAAAAATGAAAAAGATTTTAACGTTATTGACATTTTTTTTACTTAGGTATAAATATTGTTTTGTTTGTTTGTTTGTTTTTCATTGTGAAATAAAATAATTATTTATTTAATTTGTTTTTTTCTTTTTGGAATGCTGTCCGGTTTTTTTTTCGAGCACATCTGGAACCCTACGTATATCCCGTGTTACGTGTTACAGCCAAATGGCGAAACTTCTAACTTCTCTAAGGGCGAAACCATGGTCAGCAAAAGACAAGCGCATGGGCACTGAGCCGAATTCCGGTTTATTCTGGAAATTATTAAGAGACCTCAGTTAGGTACAATAAGTGAGCCCCAATTTGCCACAAATAAAAGACTAACTAATCCCAATTGGATCAATTCTAAAAAAGTACATTCACTTATCCGAGCAAAGCAACTCACTTGGGACTGTCGACTAAAATAAAATTCCAACTGAACTATCATATAGCCACAAGACTTTTTTTGTTGTGGTAGCAAACACGTTTCAGCAAAACGTACTTACTTGTGGCACCATGAATTTTTTTCTGTCACAGCAAAAATTTTACTTACTGTAGCTAAAATATCTTAGCAAAGTCCCTGGCTTGGTGGATTTCTTTCAGTGTAATTATTCAAAGAGAAAAGACGACCATGGTATAGGTATTAAGTGTAGTAACATTTTTCATATTTGCATCAGCAATATTTGAAAATTTCATGGTAGTTTAATTTTCATAATTTCAGTTTGGCCACAGACAAAATAGCTAGCGCCACAGACCGCTCCTGGAATAGGCCAGCAATTTTAAATTTCCGAATTGCCGGTAGAGTACACCACCAGCAGAATTTTAGGAAGAATCAAATACAGCGGCCCGCATATCTAAACGTATCCTAGCAACATATAAACAAGACTTTGGTAATGTTGCCAGGCGTACTTACGGATTTCTTTTGTACACTTTTTTATCAATATCTGTTTTTTGCGTTACTGTATTTACTTCAATGTATGATGTAGGTATTGATAAAAATGTTTTTAAAGAATCAACGAATATCTATGTATGTATCATATGATATTCTGCAGTGGTGTTACAATTAAGTTATTTAATCATAATTTCGTTAATTAGCTACCTACTATTTTCATTTTTTGGTATTGAAATACTGCAGAAAATATATTTCCAAATAAACAAAATTCGTAATAATATTTTAAACAGCTTGTAATATAATTTTTTTAATATTTGATGATGACGATAAATTTATTTAATATACAAGGTGGGTTATTAGTACGTCGCGGAATGTAGGTACAGGTTTTTTTTTTTATTTTGACATCCACTTATAGGTTTAATAATTAAAGATAGAAAGAAACTTTAAATACAAATGTACGACTTTTCCTTTATTTCATTTGACATCAAAATTTACTGGCATAAAATATATATGTTTAAAATAAAAAAAATCATTAAAAAAAATTAAAATTCATCCTTATGAAAATAACAAACAACGCTTTTTATAACTAACCTTTACAACAACATAAGGAGAATAACTAAAAACGAAATAACATTAATATACCTACAATTTTTACAAATCAACATGCAAGTGATTGTGATGATACAGTTGAAAATATGTTTCAATTTACTATTAATTGCTTCAAAAACAAATTCAAAATTATCAAGCATTTCGTCCTGTATTTTTTTTTCAATACTTGTAAATTTTCAGGTAAAAAAAATATGTCTAAAGGACTGACAATGAGATCGGGGCTGTTTTCTGGCCACCTAAGGTTTCTAATAATATTTTTTAGTGTTCGTTGACGGGATTCTTCCTCCAAAATAAATTTGCCAATATTCCTGAAGAACTTTTGCACATTATTGTTATTTGAATAATACAGTTAATTATGTTTTATTTTTCGTCATCAGAATAACCCATTGTAATTTTTTTAATTTTTTAAATTAAAATGGGTTATTCTAATAATGATAAATCCCATGTATTTTTAAAAGAAGGTTCGTTTCTGTCGTTTTTGTCTGATTGTGTGCGAGAGAGATAGAGTTATAGTGTGCGATAGAGATAGAGTGACTCTGTCCTCATAGAGAGCTTATCTCTCTCTCTCTCTGCTGTCTTCAGGAGTCTCCCCAACAATTTCAGGACACCTAGGGAGGGAACGTGGGGTAGAGCACGTGGCCTTGTTAAGCCTTCGTTATCGATCTATGATGTCAAACAGTATAAGAAAAAAAAATGGTTTTTGCTCGTAACTCGGAAATGGCTGAAAATATAAACAAATTTCCCCTTGGTTCTGAGTAAAGCACTCGGTGGGTGACGCAGAGCGGGGTGTTACAATATATGAAAGAAAAAAAAACAGGATTTGCTTAGACTCATAAGTATCAAAAAATCTCTCATGGTAAACAAATAAATCTCCCATGGTGAACACGTGAAAAACGTCAAAACCCGCATGTCAAAAAAAAATCGGGACCAACGGTGTGTGACGTCATAGGATAAAAAAGTGTTTATAACTCGGAAACGGTGCGTTGAATCGAAAAAATAATTGAAAAATGTCAACCCCTCCCTCCCGGGTTCTGTATGTTCCTTCTGCGTTGAATGCAAAAGGTCCGAAGTCCGTATGTCGAAAATAAATTCTGGAAACAAGAGGTATGTCGTGTTATAGTAAAAAGGCCGTATAACTCGGAAACGGTGCGTTAAATCGAAAAAATAATTGAAAAAATCTCCCCACACCCCTGGTTCTGTATGACAGTTCTGCGTTGAATGGAAAAGGTCCGAAGTCCGTATGTGGAAAATAAATTTCGGAAAGAAGAGGTGTGTGAGGTGATACAGTAAAAAAGGTCTTATAATTCGGAAACGGTGCGTTGAATTGAAAAAATAATTAAAAAAATCTCCCCACTACTCTGGTTCTGATTGTCCGTTCTGCGTTGAATGGAAACGGTCCGAAGTCAGTATGTCGAAAAACAAAAAAGTTAGTTAGTTAAAAATTGCAACAGCAGTAGCGAACGCATTATCTTATCTCTGTATTGATTGATGATTTGTTGTTTTTTTTTTAAATAAATTTCGTATTCAACTACTCCTTGAGGTTCCAGCAATTTTACATTGTGTTAATTTTTTTGAACACCTTGTGTCACAAATATGGGCACTACCAATGACATCCATAATATGCAACACTTGTGTCAATAAATAATTATTTACCTATCTAAAGAAATCAACAATAAGAGGCAGTACCCATCTAAGGATACACAATCTGTATAATGCAATTTTTTTAAACATAGGTTTTGATATCGTACCATATTGGAAGTCGACGCACAAATCTAAAAACATTACTTTCGAGTTTTTGAATTTTCCCATTCCAAGGTGATATAAAATAAATAATTAATTAGGTAAATTCATAGTTTTAATTCTAACTTGATTTATTTTATTTAACATTTAAGGCAAATGTGATTTCCAAACACAAGATAAGTTCCATATCTCTTTAATTACATAATTGAAAGCATTAAATTTATTTAGCAGTTATTATTTGGCAACAAAGCCACCGCTGGAACTGCCGCCTATTAGCAAGTAGAAGAGTTACCACGCTAAATTTTATAGCTGGAAGCCGGCTAAGGAGACCCTGCTTCCATTTCGGGTTTCCAATTTCCAGCACTTAAGTAGCAGTCTGTAGCGATACGCTATATTATCTGTGGTTTGGCGCAATATTTTAGGAACGCCACTTGTACATATATTACATACCATTTTCCAGATTCACATCCAGTTACATAAAATTGATATACAGCTTGCGTTTCTGTAACAGTATCCAATGTCAAATTAGTTTCAATTGTTTTAAATAATTCTGCAATCTTGTCATCAACCTGGCCCCACTTTTCATTGACATTTTGGGTCAGAAATGTATTTGGGGATTCTATTGCATCAATATTGTCATCCACAAAATAATCTAGGATTAGTTGGTCTGAATTTTCTGGAAAACAAGCGTATTGCTTAAAATTTGATACTCCATTTGTTCTAAGCACATCCTCATCAATAAAGAAATTACCAGTACATGATTTTGGATCTTGAATTAAAATATAGTAGGCTGCATCTGCTATTATTTCTGGTCGTCTACTATATTTTGCAGAATCTTCACCCATAAGCATTTTAACTGCTGCTGTATATATTGCTGAAAGTTAATCATATATAAATAAATAACAGAGTATTTCAAACTTAATGCCTTGGTCTTACCACGTAGAAACAAAAAAAAATAAATAAATTCTACTTATACGATAAGCCGCGTTAGATGTGAATCAGACAAGAACTTAATGAAAATAAGCGACAAATCTTCATTGTTTTAAAACTTTAGTTGCCACTCAAACATTTTGTAGCATTAGACACATGTAATTAGATAAATTATTAAGATAAATAAAACATTTAATATACGAGACGTTGAAATTGATCTGGAACGTCCCTTTATTGTATCGCACAATTTTGATGATTATTTTTTATATATACAGTGGCACTATCACTAATGCACTTGATTCTGCAGATGCATTAAGACAGTCTGTACACATAAAAAATTATCGAAATCGTACAACGCACTAAAATATGACAGGAGTGCACCAGATCAAACCTGAGCATCCTATATGTGTCATTATAATAATTTGTTTAAGTTGACATAAAAGTATATAAAAATAAAAATATATCTATTGCAATAGGGTTAATAAATGAAACTAGAGACGTTAGTCAGCTCAGGGTTAAATTCACTGATAAATAAACAGAAATAGCTTGTCAAATTTTATGCGGTATACTTCAAAATTTATCTATGTTGAATGAATTTTAAATTTCCACGTAGAATTGTTTCATACACCATGGGGACTACACAAGGAGCACGAACTCCATGTAAACAAATATCTTACCAAATTAGAGGCCGTTAGTGTCGAAATAGTGGAAGGAAGATAAGGAAAGCAGCAGTTTGAATTAAAAACCAATTATGTCGTTTTTGTGATTTGTTAAAAATTATAGGTTACTTTGAATTAGATAAATAAAACAATGAATAATAAAAATATGTCGGTGCACAAGGAACACTAGCGATCCTAGCCGTAAAAACTATAAGTAATTTCTATTATTACATTGACAAATTTTGTCAATTTTCCCGTTTGAATACGTGCTCCTTGTCTAGTATCCTTGCACTATAGCATCAAACATATTTTGCTGCATTATAGAGCAAGAGCCCGTGATCGCCAAATCTTTCTCATAGTATAAAAGCTGAAAGTTTTTCTGCGCATGTCTTCAACAAAGGTAGGAACGATCGGCGGCTATGAAGTTTGGATCATCGTTGCTTTGGCAGGTAACAGGTAGCAAAGGTGTATAAAATTGCTACTAAAAATCGTCAGAGTATAAAGCGTAATTTTTTTATATTTTGTTCGGGACAATATTAGAAATCACGTCATCCATTGCCAGACACTTGTATCGTAACAACCCCCCCGTCGGACATCCTTAAACTTTAAATGTAATTCTACTTACGTCAGAAATTAGTGCGTCGAAGTACGATATTTCCTTTATTATAAAAGATATCAAAAAAAGTTATTTACAAAAATTGTAGCCAACTTTAAACTGCACATTTTAAAATTATTTTCGTATATACAGGGTGTTACGTATTACCGGGGTGAACCAAACATACTATTTTTTAAATGGGAATGGGATTATTTCAAATTTAGATTAAACTCATCTCTCACATGCTTCCAATATAGGGTTTAATTATGTTATACAGGGTATTTCAAAAGTTATGGTCAATTGTATACGAGAATCATAGGGAATGCTTTATAAAAATGAAAGAACATAAAGTGTATTTTCAGTTTTTAAAATAAAATGGTGTGATTCATTTAAAAAAATTGAGTAAATTATGTGCCCGAGTTTTGGCTCGCCCTATATTCAGCTGTTGCAATAATAAAGAAATAGCACTTTCTCGTAAAACTGTACCAATATCAAAAAGTTATGCCCGCAAAAAATGATTGTTAAGTTGTTCTGTTTAGAGTATACAGGACGCTGAAATGAGAATGATTCTCGTAAACAAATGACCATAACTTTTGAAATAGCCGGACAGTTTCGACAGTTCTAACATCTTGCCAGACAAAGTTGAAGGTCAGCCGTAGGTGCGAACGCTGAGGCAATATACATCCAAGCGAATGTGAGTAAAGATAGTTTTTTGGATTTATCGGATAATTTCATTGTACTGGGTATCCGCAAATTTCACCGACAACGTTTAACTGCATATTCATGACGATAAATAAATACGATTTACGAAAAAAAGTTGAATAAAAACTTTTTGGTTTTTGAGTTACAGGTCTTCAAAGTTGTCAAAAATAAAACTAATTTAATAAATAACTTCATAACCCTTTTACCGATCGCGTTCAAATTTGACACCTTTATTTGAACTTTATGGAGACATTAAAAAGGTCGCTTTATTTTAAAAAATTATTGTCTCTTGAGAAAATCTTCTTCAGAAAGCCATTCTTGAGAAAAATGGTTTGATTTGCAAGGCTGTATGTTTTAGTTTACGTAGCAGTGTCACGGATTTAAAACTTTGAGTTCAGTAGGCGATGAAAACAAGATGTTGATTGCTGTGGCGTCAGGTAATGTCATTATTGTCGTGTTTCTTTGGGATTATCATAACTTCACATATGCAAATTATGAAGTGTCCGCAGCGTAGCAAGACAATTAAATGTATGAAAACTAATGTTCACAAAACTTTAAAAAAGCAACTTCTTCGGTCATTTCATTGAAGAACTTGAAGATGTAGATCCCAACGCACGTGAATGGCTTCGCAGAAGACAATACCTAATATGCCTCAAAAATTGTTTTATACCGACATATCTTGGTTTACAAGGAACGGAGTTGTAAATTTTCATAATTTGCATGTGTGGAGTGATGAGAATCCTAAAGAAACACGACAATAATAACATTACCTGATAGCCACAGCAATCAATATCTTGTTTTCGTCGCCTACTGAAAAAGTTTTTTAAATCCGCGACAGTGCTACGCAAACCTAAGTATACAGACCTGCAAATAATGCCATTTTTCTGGAGAATGGCTTTGTGTAGGCGATTTTCTCATGAGACAACTTTTTTTAATAAAATGACCTTTTCAATGTTGCTGCCCGTTTTAAAAAATACTGTAAAAGTTTTGATCGCTAAAAGGGAGAGGTAACCGGAGAAAACTATCACCCTGTATATCGATTTGATTAAAGCTTTAAGAAATAATACGCCATAAGAGTCCAAATAAATGTACCAAATTTAACGGGATCGGTAAAAGGGTTATGAAGTTATTAATTAAATTAGTTTTATTTTTGACAACTTTGAACGCCTGTAACTCAAAAATAAAAAGTTTTTATTTAACTTTTTTTCGTAGATCGTATTTATTTATCGTCGTGAGTTTGCAGTCAAACGAATTGATTGACAATGTATAATTTTTAAATACAACTTTAGATTTAAGATTTTTTTTTGTTCAAGTAATTTTGTTGGAAACGTAATATTTTTCCTAACTAATGAGTTTTTCCAGAGTTTCTTACAAATATGTAAGTCCGTTCTGGACGCTGGTATTTGAAATTAAAAAGCAGAAAGTTGACCTTAAGTCAGTGTCCAATTAAAATTTATTCATAAATATACAGGGTGATTCAGTCATAATGTCATTAATTTTAACTACGTATTCGGAAGGCTTAATAAAGACAGAAAATCGGAGAAAAAATGTAAAAAATAACTCCCGCTACGAGGGCGGCCCTGGCAGATGCCTGGATGTTCGGAAAATTTTGTAACGTAATGTCTCGAACAATTGTCGGCTGAAGCGAACAGCGTTGCCAAGTTCACATCATAATGTGTGGTTCACATTTACTGTTAAACGTATTCAAGTAAATAAAGGAGCATGCTGCATTTTATTATAAATAATTTTAACAATTGTATTAACTTAGTGCAGAATGTTTTAACAAGCCTGACTTCTCGAAGTCAACTTTCGTTAAAAGAAAATAAATAAAGCAGAGGTAGTTACCTGTTTGTAGGCACACCGTATTTTATCAAATAAAAAAAGTCGGCACACTACTAAATACCCGAATATACAAAATACACTACACACCATTAACCATTAACAATTTAAAGCGTTTATTCAAATCTACCACCGTCCATATCTCCCGCATTTTTCCAACTGCATCATACCATACCGCGCAGCGAACGTGCAGGACATCGATAAAATAACTTAAATGTGATAGAGGCTGTTTTAAATTTAGTCGAGGAGCAGCTTACTATTTCCGCTAGAACAATTTCAAGGCGACTGGAGATATCACAAACCAAAGTTTGTCGGATATTGCGCGAGAATTCACTCAACAAGTACAATTTTGAAAAAGTTCAAGTTTTAGAACCAGCTGATTTCCCCAATCGTCTTGAATTTTGCAGGTGCAGCTAAATCGAAGTGCAGCAGACGCTAACTATATTTTTATTTTTAAAACAAAGTGCGCTGGACGGATGAACTCTGTTTTAGTCGTGCTGACATTTTAAACAGGTAAAAAACATTTAGTTTATATTTACACTAAAGTTTACATTTATTATGTAAACTTTGGTTATACGCAACTGCATATTGAATAATAAATTGAAATACTAAAACTGTGTATTATTTATCATAATAAATTATAAAACGTTAAAACGTTAATAATATTAAAAATGATAAATTGTAATAACCGTACATTGGAAAACAATCATCCGTATTCATTACATTCAATTTTTCTTTGATAAAAGACAGATAACTTTTTGCTCTACTTTGCATGGAATACAATCCTACTACAGTTCGTATTAGTCTAATTAAACTCACCACTTTCAGGCTTTGCGACCAAGTTTTTTGGATTCAGGAGCTCAAAATACTACGAATAAGTTGTTTACAGCCGTGGCACTCTGTTGGCCACGGCACCCTATCTGGCTCCTAGACTATGCAGACGTACACGTGCAAATTAAAAGAGGGTCAAATAAAAAGGCTATTGACCCTAGATACAGGTTAGCCTAGGTCGGAAACACGTACCGAGTTGTTTATTTGTCTCCGTCCAATTGTTTTTTTTTTATCTTCTATTACTTACAGTCAATATTTAAATACTACATACATTTCACCCTCTCTTTATAATTTATCTAGTGAGTGTTGGTTTTTATG